ACGTTTGTCCGCTCGGTTTGATAGTGATTCCCTGCCATTATTGTTGGTATTTTCCCTGCCCTCCGGGCCAAATCGAATTTAGAATTTCCTGGGCGAAAACATTAGCGTATAAATAATGGCATCTACAGGCATTTAAATTGTCTGTCATTGGTGAAACTTAACGTTTCATTAAAATAAATCAATAGAATGGCTTACTTTGATTCCTCTATGCTTACACAGAGCAAAATTTGTTAATGTTTACATTATTAACAGACCGAACATTAATATTATTAAATATATACTATAATATCAATTATCAAACTTAAATAGTTCCCTTTTTCATACAAAACCCTATTATTTAAATATACTTACCCGAACCACGGATTACCCTTCAGTCATAAATTGTCCCACATGAACATTTATTTTTTGGCTTAAAAGGAGTTAGGGTTAATTGCTTTATGGCTAACCGTAAATGGTTTTAAGGTCCCTTAGTCATATCGGCGGTCCTACAATTAGCCAACTTCATTATGCCTGCTGCTAATTGCAATAACAAAACAAAGTCTAGGCAAATGTGTAAGCCATAAATGATAACCGGCAAGCGGCAAGTGGCAACCGTAACCGACGACAACCGACCGAAAATTGCCGCCAAAAGGTTTGGCCAACGGTGCCAGGAGCAGTAAGGATCTCCCACGCACGTTGTAACCGCCGTCCTCGTACCCCTGTAAATTGGCCAAAAGCCGCTTATAAAGGTAAACGCAGGGCAGCACACTTTCTGGGCCAAAAAGTAGCACACAAAGTGGCGTAAAATAAAAACCAAAAACCCCACTCGCAACCAAAAAAAAAAAAAAAAAGAGCGAAACGAAACACCCAACAAGTTGTGAAAAAGTAGCACACAAAATGTTTTAAACGGGAAACCGAAAAGAGCTTGGGTTACGCCCTTAGAAGGAGGAGCTTTATGCCTGGAGGAGCTATGTTGCTTTATTTCAATTATGATTATGATGACAATATTAAAATGCCCCAAAAACTTTGCGCAATCTGAGGGTTGCTAATTAAAAGACCAAAAAGCAGACTCTATACGTATATATAATATATATAGTGTCTATGAGCGTATAAGCCAAAAGTCCAAAGTCATGGACCAGGCAAAGAGATTTGCCGAGCAGGACGAGCACAGCCTGCCGTGTTGTTGATAACCCAAACAGGTCCTTGAGCACACAAATCACATAAATTCCAATTGAGTGCATATTCAACGAGTAAATGTGGAAAATACAAAATTTACTGTGCAGTCGACTGGGAGTTGACTCTGCCTCTGTCCCTTTCTCTCACGCCACACAGTGCGTATGATTAATTTCCTTAATTTTGGGTATGTGTGCCTACTTGAGAAGACGAATTCTCATTTAAACGCCTCTGCAAACACACACACTCCCAAAAAAAAAAAAAGAGGGATGGTTGGAAATCAGGGAACAAGTTTCAGCAAATTCATTAATTAAACAAATTAAGCTAATGGCTGCGGCTTGACTGCTGCCAGCAAAAAGCGTCTCCGTTGCCAGGGAAAAACCCTTCAAGCAGCATGATTCAACAGAAAAGAAAATCCCTACCAAAAGTGTAAATTTACAAGAAAAAAAAAGAAAAAAAAACTGCTAACAAAGTCGGTGCAGAATATTTATTTGCTCTTGCTTCAGGCCATGCTTGAAAGATCCATTAAAAATATGAATAAATTGTTGGCAAAATAAATTGAACATGGCTCTTTATTGACAGGCAGCAGGAAGGCTAATTTAACATTGAGATTTAAAAATAAAAGCGGCAAGTTTCTTAGGCCGAAATGCAATTTATTTCATTAAATGAGATCCAAAAATAAATATGCGGCACCGAATAATGGGAATAAATTAAGGTGTGGTTAACGAAGAATCGGTTTGCTTTTGAACTTTTTACATTTGCTTAATTTTTCTTAAAACTACAAACTATAAACTTTAGTCAAGATAATACAAGGATTGTGTGTTGAGAGAATGGAAATGAAATTGAATATAACAACCTTAAACAATATAAATAGGTTCGAAACCATTTTTTTTAGAGAATTTAACTCCGATCATTTTGAAGTATGCCACTTTGCACACCTTTTTTAAAAAGCCTAGAAAATTAAGATTTCTTTTTCTGCTTTAGTAAAAACATAATTAAATTGTAGAAAATATATTTGGGAAATGCATTTGCCTGACAGCTAGCAATAAACAGAAAAGATATTTGATGTGTTTCATAGCTCACTTAAAAAGTTCTTTGTTCAAGGGATCTACTCAAAAGTTTCGGCGTCACTGGCAACAATGGGAAATTACTCCGCATTAAATGTTGACTATTGAGCCTTCTGTTCCGCCTCTAAAGTGTATCCTTTTGTCTTTAAATGGCGTTTAGCTTCAAGTGCCTGATGTCGGCTCAAACTTTGCGAGTCAAATTTGTGAAATTAATGCGATTTTCCCGCCCAGGCTTGCGAACATTGTCCCAGTGGCAGTTGTCGTCTATTGAGTGCGGTGTTGCGGTTGCCCCAAAGTTGCTTAAAGTTTTGCCGCTTTGCAGCTTGCGAGGATTTCTATGGGCGCATCCGGAGGAGCAGCTCATCCACTCCGGACAAACTTATGTCATGCATGCATAAATATATTTATAGTTACAAGCAGAAAAATGTGCCATGGTCGTGGGAGGTGGGTCACCCGCAAAACGCTTCCAACTGCGTGCCAAAGATTTATTGTGGTGATTTATTTACCGCCCCCATTCGACATCGCCTTCCTGTGTGTGTGTGTGTGTGGGAGTGGGCCAAGCTCGAAGCTTATTTATTTATTCATTTTCTAATTTATTGATGTTTGTCTGACCCAAAGCGTTTTCGACCGACCCCCTAGGCCATCAGCTGTTCGACTGATTAGCCCAGGACCTCCTCATCAAGGATAAGGAAACGAGGAGCACTTAAGTCAGCGAACACGCTTCTAATTTCAAACCAATTTAAGTCTCAACAACAAAATTCATTCAGGGAGAGTCACAATTTAAAAGTTGTTCGGGAAATCCTTGTTTAATTTGTGCCTTCGGCACTTTTTGGACTCCTTTTCTCGGACTTTCTCATTCGAGCATACAATTTGAAAAACAACGAAAAATTTTCAGCTTTGGGGCCTTTGAGCCATTCGGATTGAACCCCTTCCCTTTGCACACTTCATATTAAGTCTATCAAAGGGCATCGATAATTATCATTTTGAATTTGGATTATGTATTTTGAATTTCCCACCTGCAGGCGAAATTAAATCTTTAAGTCTCTCTGACATGGTTGTTTGATGTTAGTTTAAGTGTGCTTTCAGGCATAAATTTAAGTGACGGGGAACTATTTTGGTAGACAATTATTTTTCTGAATGGAAAGTTTAAGAAAAAATCGGATATAAGACAAATAATATAAAAACAAATAATAAATCAAAATGTAAATAAATTTTATATATAGAAATTATAACACTTGTTAAATTAACGGATCAAATAAAATTATCTTAGAAAAATTAAAATAAATTTCCAATTGAATCATTAAATAAGTTTAGAAAAAAATCTCTTTCAGTTCTCCCCAAATATCTTTCTCAGTGTTTTTTTTCAGTTTTAAAACTTTGTAGATTTATTCTACTCGTTTTTACTGAAATAACACGCTCAGTAGGGAGCAAAATCAGCAGCAGATCCTGAAATTTCCATTCCAGGCAGACACAACTCAAAAGTGGGATGAGACAGACGCCAACATGGATTTTTGATATACTCCCGCATTGCTCCATTTGGCGAGGTTTTTGTTTTTGGAGCTGCAGCCGCCTCGTTTATTTGCCTCCACTTGGTCTGTGGTATTTTTTATGCATTTGCATAAAGCGAAATGTATTTCTATGCCATGCTCAACGCTTTTCCTGCTATTCCTTCCACTACTGTTTTTTCTGTGTCTGCTTTTATTGCACGTTTCCCTTTTTGGCCATTACCACACACAGTTGCATTTTAATGAGCGCCGGCGTTGGGCACCTGTGCGCACGTGAGCAGACTTCTTTCAATCACTGTCTGCCCGGGTTTTCTGTCTGCTTGTTTGTTTGTTTTGCCAGCGATTTGTTTGAGCGCTAAAGTCTCGATGCGACGCCCCCACTTTCGTTGCCCTACGTCATTATAATGTCCCTGCAACTTGAGCTGAACTGGCGCCTTGCCCTAGTCCTGTCACTTAATTAAAAAGGTTGGAAAATCAACACAAGCTGTGCAACAACAAAAAATCGACCCCAAAAGAGCTTAGCTACAACCGAAGCGGACAACTTCAAGTTTTGAAAGGATCTGGCAGTGGCGTACGCAGGATATTAGGGGGTCGTCAATCAATTATTTTATCACAGTTTATTTGCTTTTATCAAATTTATTGCTTAAGTCCACAAAATAAATTAGCTTTTATTACTTATTAAATTAAAAATTACTTACATGCTTCGATAGGTTTTAATATTGATCATTTGTTAAAAGCTTTTAAATGATTTGTAAATATTAAAAAAATAAAACCTATTAATGGCTCTACTTAGAATTGGAATTAGATTTATTAAAGAAATTTTCCATCTGGACATATTTACAACCCCTAAGTAATACTCATAATTCCCTTGTTTACGCCACTGTCTTTTGAGTGGGTGATTCGGGGGGTTCGCGGATTTTATCGCGCTCGCCTTTGGCTGATTGTGCCAATTATGCAGCGAAATGCGCTGCTCCGAATCCGAATCGCCCTCAAGTGGTTTATGCACTTTCAAATCATAATAATAAATCCAAAAGGGGCTGCCGGGCCCCAGCAACAAAAACAACGAGGACAACAATGGGAGCCATGCTGAAGCAAGTGCCATTTGGGTTTCTGCCTCGATGGAAATCATTTAAATTTATAGCGAGCTGCATTTCACGCCCTGCACTCTTAATCAGCCGGCGCCGTTTTTGGCATTATCCGTGGCCCATTTTCCGCCTCTACTTGGCCGGGAAAACTTTTAAAAAGCGAATATTGAATTTTTCATTTTTATGCTTACCCGAAAAAATTCACGAACTTTTCAGAGAGCTGCAACAAATAGAAAAAGAGAAAATGAAAGCTTTAGTTTTGTGCCCGTTGAAACTTTAATAAAGTAATAGAACAAACAATTAATGTTGATATAGTCATTTTAATCCGGCCACTCATAGGTAATTTTCATAGGCTACATTTACTCCATTTTTACATAATTATTAATCCATAACTCATTTGACCAGCAGTCAACAATAATTTATTGCCCTAATCAGAGCTCAGCGAAATATAATTTTAATTTCACTGAATTTGCAATGCAGATTCGGTTTTTTTCCCTCATTTGGAAATTTGTGAGTGCATTTTGTATATAGTATTTACATGTAGCACTGCGACGGCTGTCATAAGTGATGTGATTGATTGATGATGTCATTTGAAGCGGCCCACGAAATAACAGCAAGAGTAACAACAAAGTTTTCGACTCAAACGTGACAACGTGTAAATAAATAAATAAATCAAATAAAAAATTATTGAATCAACAACGTAAAATAATTAAATCAACATGAATGATTTAACGCTCCAAATGTGTTGAAACAAAACTCATCTGACACATCCACTAGCCCCGTTCCACTCGACTCCCCACAAAGCATCCAATCACCGGGGCTCACACCTGTTTGGATTGGCGTGAGCTGCACACCTTTTTGTGTTGACAACTGCTGACAGGACGAACAACAAAAACTCGAACAACCATGTCGATGAAATATTATATATAAAAAATGCAGTGAAACAAACTATAGCAGAGCCAAAACAACAACAGAAGGTTTTTAAAGAGTAGCCGAAGAACGGAATACTCTGAACGGAATACGATCATTGATTATTCTTTATCACTATAACTAAAAATATTTATACATTAAAACACTAGGATTTTTTAAAGTATTATTTTATTTTATTTACCAAAATTTTGTGCTGAATATCAACTAATAGATTGAAATCATAAGGTCAATTAAAAGAAAACCTATAATTTAATTTATTTTTAGGATAATAAAAAATACAAAGCACTTAGGACATAATATAGATTAATTTACCAAGCAATAATAATTGCATATTTCAATACCTATTGGATAAAATAAAAAAAATATATTTAACAAAATAAAATATATGTTTACAAAAAACCAAACTTTTCCAATCAAATGGATCCCATTATATAGAGTACAAAAGAAACTAAATATTTAATCTATCCTGGAATACCTGAATTTAAAAAAACCATTAGGACCACTAATGGTTTGGTTTTTATTCATAACAATGAATGCGTTAATTAACCGATTTAAACCCGAATGAATAATCCCTTTATTAAAAGCAATACACACTCAATTCATCTGTGCAAATTCCGGAATACTGCAACACAAAAGATATTTTATATTTTTTCTATCGAACAAATATGCATTTCTCTAACCCGCAAATATGAGCTTTGTTAAAAAATGCATGCAGCGTTAATTTTGAAACGTTTTATTTTTCTCGGCGGATATTTGGTAGCCTACAAAATGCATTTAAGCGACAGAAAAAGAGGGTGGTGGTGGTAATAAAATGCCATGACAAACGTTACGCATACGACCCGTGGTCCGCGCCTCGGAAATGGCCACAAACGGGTAAAAAATGAAGGACATGAAAGGAGAGGAAAGGCGAGGAAAATCGGGAAAGAGACACAGTAACTTTAATCAATATTGAAGCAGTTTTTGAGGCCAATAAATCATTTCATAATCAATTTTGCCGCTGCCATGTATGTGTGTGTGTATGTGTGTGAGGAGAAATGCAAAAAAGGGAAAGAACCAAAGAACACAAAAAGGAGCAATACAAACACAAAAAACTTTGAGCCACCTTGTGTCAAGTGCCTGTATGTGTGCGTGAGCGATAAACAAGCCACATGGACAGCACACACTCACACAGCGCTGCAATGTGGAGTGCAAAAGTAAACCAAAAAGAAAAAAAGGCAGCGCCAAAATAATCAACAGATGTTGCCAGCAACAACAAGATGAAGGGCAGGACACAGGCCAAATAGCGTGCGTGTGCCAGAATGCCACTATGCCAGTGTGTGTGTGTGTATGAGTGTGTGTAAATGAAAAGCGGATGTTGAAAGTTCAGCGCAACTGACAGGACCCAGCACAGGGCTGCATCAACAATGACAGCCGCGGCAGCAGGAGCACCAGTCCCAAAAAAGTATGCTACGACTGGGAGCGGAAATTAAGTGTGACCTCTTCGCGTGGCTGCGAACAGAATCGGAGTCACAGGACGAGAAGGAGCGTCAGAGAGAGAGGGACGGGAGACAGGAGACAGAGACAACTGAAAAGGACTCATCTAATTTCCCAACTGTGAGATACCCAATTTTATTTGCATTCAATTAGAAGCAAAGTTTATTGTCCTATTCAAAAGGGGTAATTCTTGTTGGTTCCTTTTAAAAATGTCTTCGTTTTACTTTATATTTCCCAGCAAATTTAAATGGATTTTTCTTCGTTCTCTTTTCCCAATTTCATACATTATTAAAAGAGCTTCATATTTGAATTTGCTTTACAAATACAAATAGTTACATTTAATATTTTTTTTAGTTATTTATTTTAAGAAATATATAAATTTTCTTAGTGCACAGCTACGAATTGAAGAGCACTATACAACAAATTTTTATGAACGAAACTTTGTACATCAATTTTAATTTCGTCAGTTTTTTTTATCATTGTAAACGATTTGAATATAAATAAAAATGCAATCTTTTTTTAATATTTTTATTCATAGTTAAATCTTTTATTGTCATACTACTTATGAAACCTATTTTTAAACAGCATGTCTCACATTTGACCTTATGTATTTTGTAGTTAAAGTACTTATTAAAATGTTTTCTTTTCCTTATGGCCTAGCAACATTTATTTTGTACACTTTATGTGGGCCCAATATACCTCTAAAATCCGCCCAATACCTCATGTAAAAAAACCGCGGCGCATATCAATGGCCAGTGTGCACCATGTAGTAGGGGAATGGCGAAGGGACAGTCTGACGGACATTCGCCAAGTGCTGCTCCGACACTCCATTTTCTGTTGCCGGCGAACCCGCCTCCCGATTCGCACCACCACCCACTCCCCCAGAAGACCTCACCCATTTGTGATTGTGTTTGCGTGTTGTGATGCGTTCAAAATTGTATTTGCCTAGAATTGTTCGCCGGGCAGCAAAAAGGGCGGAGGAAAACAGAAACCCACGCGGATGCAGCTCCAATTGGGTTGCCGGCTGCTCCCGGATTTTTTCATTGCATTTGATGAGTACGTTGGTTGGGTTCATGGCCCCCGTCCACGGTTTTGTTATCAAACGATTTTGTTTGGCAAACAGCCATTGAAATGCTCCGATATACAATCGTATCTATGGAATAACGTGTAATAAAGCCGCTCAACTGAGGCCAATAACCACGCCTTCAAATACAATAAACTAGCAAACCGGCGGGCAAGACCAATTGAATTTGAAGGCAATCAAAAAATATTACACATTTGCTGTTTCAGCTGAGGGATTGTCGGACCTCTAAGCTTGATGGATTGGCCAGCAAAAAAAACCTCCTAGCTCAGCTGAAAATTAACTCAAACATGCCCACGTGTCGGGGTCTCAAGTAGGTAAACGCAGGGGCCAAATAAAAATACGATAAAGTGCTATTACAAAGCGCAAAGTGCAATGATTAATCAGATTTATTTGTCAGTTTTATTTCGTGCTAAAAGTGTCAAAGAGAATATTTATAAAAGTTTATTAACACTAAGTACTTTGGCACAAACACACAGCAAAGCTGAAGCAGAAGGCGAAGGAGCACATTAGAACTGACCATAAAACACAAGCAAAACAGTTGCCAAGAACAACAAACAAGGACGACATCGAGAAGGCCAAGACGGGAGCAAGTTGAACGCCCTGGAGCGATCCCACAAGCAGACTTCAAGTGCCACCAGAAATAATACCAACAACTGCGGGAACGGCAACAACAAGGAGCAGCTGCTGTGCGTGGACGAAGACGGGGCGACGGTGATTTGGTACACTCAGAATAATTCTATTAACTTAACTTCAAGTTGCTAGTTCCACAAATTACTAGATATATTTGAGATATTACAAATTATATCAATATTAAGGGAATTATAATAGCTAGAATGTTACTTTAGTTAGCCAACAGATTAATAATTAAATATATTTTTAAATAATATTATTAATGAAAAATTCAAGCACCGTAACCAAGTCACCAAATATGGCAATTTCTATATTTTTATGAACTACATCAATCAAGTAACTTTATATAAGCACATTTAATATTATTTTTTTCAATGTAGTTTTATTTTTGTTAATTTTACTATTTACTACTTGAATATTACACTGCTAAATTTAGTAAAATGCTTGTAAATTTTATACAAATTTGCTTGCAAAATAATGATATAGAAATTGAGTTTTGCATTCAATGTTACAATCCATCGAATAATATAAATATTTGATGAATTTTCCTCTCTGCTTTATACAAAAAATGTGCCACAGTGCGAAGTGCACAGAAAGTACTTAGGATGTCTTTAAGTTCAACATAAAAAACATTGGCGCTTACAACTTGGCCCCAAAACATAAATCCCGCAGACTCGCAATCACACTCCCACTCGACATATATGGACACAGACAGCGCAGACAACACATCGCACATATTAAGACAGATTTTGGCCTAAGGCAGCCATCTCAGCTGGCCTGACCAGCATATTTAGGCGGATATTTATGGCCCGAAGTGAAGGGAGTCCCATCCCAAGCGGTGGGATGTGCGATCTAGTTCCATGGCCATGGCAACATGGCAACACATGTGCATATTATCTGTGGCTTGTGTGCGTGCGTGCGGGTTTCCTAGCTGGAAAAGTTTCAATAGCCAAATGCCTATTGACGGCCAAGAAGCGAACCGTAAGCGAACCGTAAGCGAACCGAACGGGAAATGAGATGGTGCTGGCTGGGAAAAGCGGGCGGAAGTAGGGAAAGCGGCGGGAAATGTCTTCCTGCATGCCCGGCCACTCAATGACAAGTGG